GAAAGGGAATTCAGGGGCGCCTGGGTGGCTTAGTCGGTTAGGCGTTCGACTCTTGATATCAGCGTGGTGAGTTCAAGCCCCATGGTGGGCTCCACGCTGGGCATGGAGCCTACTTTAAAAAAAAAAAAGAGAGAGAGAATTCGGGGGAAGGGTTAAATGAGTAATATTGTATTTCTGAAGCTGATTCATGAGTACACAAATAACTCATTGGATGCTTTATATATTTTCATAAGATTTAAATATCACATAATAAAAACTTTAAAGAGAAAATTCTTTTAAAATGAAAACAATAAGATACCATTTTATGCCCTTGGAATTGGCATAAATTTTAAAAAGTCTGATAATACCAAGGGCCAGCCAGCCATAAGATAGGAAACTGGGACTCTCAAACATGAAAATATTTCTCAGAATCTGGAAAAGTTGAAGCTGTGCAACCATTCAGCCCAGCAATTCCATTTCCTGATGATCTGTCTACTCTGGAGAAACATCAAGAGACATGCATATTCTTGGCAGCATGGTTTACTATAGCAAAAACCTGGAAATATCCCAAATGACCATTCCTGGAGCAAGAGGTACTGAACTGTGCTATAAATCGCAGGATGAAATACTATATAGCTGTTAAGATGAATAAATTAGATCCTTATGTATCAACAGGAATAGATCCCCAAAACATAACATTGAATAAAAATTCTCAAATATATAAAACAATACTACATTTTGTACATGGATCCAAACATGTATGTGAGGAAATTATAGAATCATGGAGGGGCAGAACACACACCATAATCCCGGTAGAGGTTGCTCCTGGGGAGAGAAGGGAACGAGACTAGGAAATAGAAAATAATTTTCAGCCTGTTATGGTTTTTATTTTATTTTAAAAGATAAGCAAAAATGAAAGGCATAAATATTTCTTTATTCTGGGAGGTGAGTTGTAAGCTTATTTATCTTGTATTTTCTTTTATATAACTTTTGTTATATTACATATTCAGAATACATATAAATACTCTGATGCTTGTTATATCATTCCTTGTGGGGGCGCCTGGGTGGCTCAGTCAGTTAAGTGTCTGCCTTTGGCTCAGGTCATGATCTCAGGGTCCTGGGATCGAGCCCCACATCCGGCTCCCACCTCAGCGGGGAGACTTCTTCTCCATCTCCCTCTGCCATTCCCCCCCCCGCCCCCCCGCTTGTGCTCTCTGGCTCTCTCTATCTCTGTCAAATAAATAAATAAAATATTTTTTTAAAAAAAGAATATTATTCTTTGCAATTTGGACTTTCCCCCCCCAATTTATTAAATAGTCAATTAAACCTCTCCCCCATCTACCCACCCCACCTAAAGTTACAATTAACCAAACAGGAAAGGCATACAAACAGGAAAGAGCCCAGCCCAGAGGAAACACCCACATTGGCAAAAACCGCAAAGCTAGTTGAAAACACTAGACAGCCGGCTTCACACAGTTAAACAGTCATGCCTGCAAACACACACACACACACACAAACACACACACACACACATACAAAGCAAAAAACAAAATAAACCCACTCAACTTTAATTCATGAAAGGTCCTACCTTCACACAGCTACTTCACCACACAAGGAGCTAGTTAAGAAATCGTGCAGATGGATCTGGGTTCAACAACTCTGCCATCTACCTGCTCTGTGGTGGGCACATTTCTAAACAGCTCTGGGTCTGAGTTGCTTTATATTAAGATGGGATTTATAATATCTACCTCAGGAGCCAGGGTAAAGATTAGCTTGGATACCATCTCTAAAGTTCTTACCATAGTGCTTGATACATAGTTATTTGTTCACTAAATGGTAGTCATTGTTTGCATCAGAACTGGGATTAGAACTCCATGTGTGGGCATATATTTCGGCAAAGCAAATTGAAACATCCAAACTGATGTACCAAAACAAGCCAATACCCAACACTGAAGCAAGCACTGTTGACTAACATGTATAGCTAAAAGCAATGTAAGAGGGGCGCCTGGGACATGATCCCAGGGTTCTGGGATCAAGCCCCCCCCCGCCCCCCCCCCCCCCCCCCGCAGATTGGGCTCCCTCCTCAGCAGGGAGCCTGCTTCTCCCTCTCCCTGCCACTCCCCTTGCTTGTGCTCACTCTCTCTCTGTCAAATGAATAAATAAAATCTTTAAAAAAAATTTTTTTTAAATGAAAGCAACGTAAGAAAGACCAGAACTGCAGGATAGATAGGAGAAGTCCTATTTATGAATATAAAGGAATTTTTATATAAAGCAATATAAAGGAAATTTTATAAGTCCAGCAAAATGCAAACTGTCCTCAGGCAATTGATATGAGTATCAATTGGTCAACAGATTCCACTAACCTGTAATCCACAAAGAAAGTCCTTAGACTCCTACATGTCAAGTTTTAGAAGATTTTATACATTTCTAAGAAGGGGGGAATATCTTTAAAACATCCTTGGGGAAAAAACATATTTTCTAGGTTTTGAGTCAAAAAAAAATTCTCCCAAGGGCCCTATTATGAGGACACAATACACTTTAATGGATTAAAAATTTGTAATTCTCTAACTCAAAAGTGATGAAAAGGAAAGAAAAAATACAACTAGACCAATAAATGTAAGAAGTAAGAATTTATCACTTCACTAAAAGAAAAAAAAAAAAACTTTAATGAATTCCCCAGAGGATCCATCCAAACTTGAATAGACCAAATTATCCCTGTCTTATATCTCCCCTTTTTAAAATACATAAAAGTGCTGGTTAACAACCCAGTTTAGGAGTTTAAAATGGTTTTCATGTTTCAAACCACACACACAAAAATACCGTAACAATATAAAACAAAAAAAAATAGTTTCTAAAAAAACTAAAACTAAAGCGTCTAAACATATTGTGTATAAGAAATTGAAAGTTTATAAATATATTGGATATGTAACATATTTAAACAATTATGGATTATGTCTCTGCAGGTTTCTTCCTGAAACTTATAATTCCTATTATAAGACAATCAGGGAAATTTGAATGCCAACCGTACATTAGGATTATATTAAAATTGCACTAAAAAATTGTGATTGTTGTACTGTGTCCTTACTCTTTAGAGATACTAAAGAATTTATGGAACACATAATCTCTGGGATTTGGTTTAAGATAACATGTTAGGAGTTGGGGACAGGGATGGGGAGAGGGAAATAAATGAAACAAGACTGGCCTTATTTTGAAAACTGTTGAATTGAAATGATGGGTACATAGCAGTTCATCATTCTCTTTTCCCTACTTTAGTATATTTTGAAAATATCTAGAGTAAAAAATTAAAATATAACAGATATATGTATTTAAAACTAAAAGCCAACACTAGTTGAAGAATTTTTAGTAACAACAGAAAAGCACCAAAAAAAAAAAAAAAAAAAAAGATAAATCCTTTCAACTCTCTTGTTATTCAATATAGTACTAAATTGTTCCTTCCCTTTTTCTCCTCCACCCCCAGCCCTCCTTTCCTCCTCCCAGATTTCCTGGGTTGCTGTGACTTAGAGGATTCCCTCTGTACTAATTCATAATTTACCAAAACTTAGACTTTCAAACTGGTGCCTCACAACATATTCAATAAATATTTTTTAAATAATGGAGCACATTCAGCACTTTTTAAAAATTCTACCATTTTGTCCTTTAAAAAATGTCTTATATATTATCCCCTCTACTTCATCCATTTAAAACACCGGTCTTTTGTAATGCTTTACTACACATACTGGGGGTGAGTAATCCAAAGGTTTTTGCTAACAAGCACAAGATCAAAAGATTGATGGCCACCATTTTGGACACCAACTTAAAGTTTTTAAGGAGGGGCCAAGTGTGAAAAGTAGTATATCAAGAAAAATAATTGAGTAAAAGTGCACAGGGACAGAAAAGACGGGGAGAAAGACTATGGTCAGAGGGAATCATTCCCTAATTGAACAAGCATTCAATCAAAAGTGGGATGGGATGGGGGAACCCAGCAGGAAGTGGGCAGGAGCCCTCAAGAAAAAGGCTTGATGATGAAAGTATCGCGAAGGGTGAAGAAGGGCTCGGGGCAGTGCCAGAGCCCCTGCCTGGAGGAAAGAAGATGAGTGTGACTGATGGGCAGCATATTCGGGTACAGATGTTGCTCGGACGGTGGGAGAGGAAGAACCCAGATGTAGCAGGAAGGCGGAGGCAGCCGAGAGACACATGGAAGCCATCTTTGCAGATGTGACAGCTGAACCCAAGCGAGTGAGCTCTCTTCGGGAGAGACTGGGAAGACAGGTCAAAAGGCTTAACCCAAACCTCGGGGTACACTATATTTAGGAGGCAAACAATGAACGAGTGGAAACCCAGAAGCGGCTGCCTGAGACATACGGCGCACTCTTTCAAAGTGGTCCCAAGAGCGGGCAGGGGCGCTGGGAGGGGACCCTACTTCATCGGTACCCCTGGAGAAGATCATTCTGGTCAGGGGTGCGGACTAGCTTCAGAGATCAGAAAAGTGATAATGAGGGGCACGGGGGCGGCTAGGAGTGGAGGGCCAAGCGCAGGGCCAGCTCGCTGCGGTACAGACAGTCCGGGCGCGGAGGGCGCAACGCGCCGAGGGACGCCGGTAGCACCTCGAGGAGGACTCAAGAGTCTACCCAGTGGAGGCATTTTCCTTCGTTCCCAAACCTGCCTCTAAATGCCCTAGACCCAGGCTGACCCCAAAGTGCTGCATTCCTCTGGGGGTGGGGAGTTAAGCGTGGTCTTCCCCGGGGGGATATGGCGTTAGCCAAATTCGAGGACGGGTCTGGAGGCGCTGGACGGAAGGGAACGGCCAAGAGCAGAAGCGCGGGCGGAGCAGGGGAAGCAGAGAGGCGCGAGACTGGAGGGACGAGGTCCCCACGAGGGCGCCCCCCTCGCGGGGCAGCAGTCCTGACACCGCTCCTAGACCCGGGCCCTGGGAAGCCGCCACCCCTCCCCTCGCCGTGCACTCACCGCTCCTAGACCCGGGCCCTGGGAAGCCGCCACCCCTCCCCTCGCCGTGCACTCACCGCTCCGACTGCGAATAGTTGCACCGACCCAGCAGGTTGAGCTTGCAGAGGTGCAGGTCTTCGCAGGGCCTCTGGCAGAACTTGCGACGGCACACCCGGGCTCGGGTGGTGGCCACCACGGACCGGGTGACCCCTTCCTTGTCGCCGGTCTCCAACACCACGAAGCGGTCGGGCCCAGCCTCCTCCAGCACCTCGCGGAGCTGCCCCTCGGGGAGCCTTATCTCTTTGAGCAGCGCGTCCAGGGCCATGCGGCCCCCGTGGGCGCACAGGATTTTGGTGATGAAGCAGCACACCTCCGGGTCCGCCATGGCGCGCGGCGCTCGCGGGCCGGGGCGCGGGACTCTGCTCCGCGGAGAATCGAAACTTACAGGAGTCCGGGGGCGGGCGCGGGCGCGGGCGCGGGCGCGGGCGGTGCTCGGCCAGGCGCGCCCCGGGCCAGCGAGCGCGTGCTCCTCGCCGCCGTTAGCTGAGCCCCGCGGTTTCGCTTTCCCGCTCGGCCCTGGGCCGGGAGGCCCGAACTCACCAGCCCGATCGCGGTGTCAGACTGCAAGCCAACCGCGACGGCAGCCGAATGGAAGGAAAAGCGAACGGCGCGCGCGGTTCTGCGGGCCACCGCCGCACCCGCCCGGCCCCTCGCTCGCTTCTGCGCTCCGCGAGGGTGACGTTCCCCAGCTGGGCACGGCGAGGCTTCTAGCGAAAGAAGAGAAACTAAAACTGAGCTGGGGCCCTGGTGGAGTTTTTATAAGCCAGCCCAAGCAGCGAATGACGCGAGCCTTGGGAGCCCCCTTGAGGAGGTTCAGTTCTCCACCCCACCCATTCCGGGAAAGCACGGACCCTAGCGAGCGCTCGCTTGGAGCTGGGCGCCCTACCTCCGCAGGAAGCTCATCTTCTCAACGACTCCAAAGCTTAGATACTATTATCCTCAATCTGTACTTGAGGAAGTAACTTGAGCAAACAGAGTCATCAAGGTGGAACCTGGATGCTACCCGAGGTTCCCCATATCTGGCCCCCACGCCCCAGATCGTGGTCCGCCCGGCCAGGACCGATGTGCACTTTCTCCCCCAGCACCATGCCCTCTTAAAGAACAGCGATGATTGCTCTCTCTCTCTCTTTTTTTTTTTTTTTGCCTTTTTAAGAGCTTTTAGAAGAAACACTTCTTGACACTTTCTTGCCTGCCTTCGATCGGTAACAGGGGTGCCGCAGGTACCACTTAATTCCCAACAGCCATTGGTCGCAGGCATACTTAGTCGTATGCCAAGATCTCAGGTAGGTTCCTCTCTTTAGATATTTGGGCAAGGCCTTATCCCTTGTGGAGACCCTCTTGGACTCCAGGGTCGGTATCGAGATTATTTTAAAGTGAAAACATTGGAGCTACAGAAGTTGCATAAAGAAATTTTATCTGAAATTCTCTTAATCTCAAAGCAGAGCCTCCTGAAGACTCAGCTACTATTAACCCCCTTCAAAGGGAGCTTCCTGCTAATTCAGCTGCCCAGTAGAGACAGACTGCCCACTCCATTAACATCAGAAAGCCCAGTAGAACCTTCTATACTCTCCCATTGAAGCCCTAAAATAAACTCTTCTGTTAAATTGAGATATATAAACTTTAGCTATTCCAGGCCTTTTCCATTACTGGGAGCTCCCCCCACCTCCCAAAGTGAAAATAAACTTTGTCTTTTCTCCTGTTAATCTGTCTTTTGTCAGTTAATTTGCAGATCCCCAACCACTAGTATCCAAATTGGAAGAGGAAAAAGGTTTTCCTCCCAACACTCTCCCAAGAAGGGTCATTGATCAAATAGGGTTTTTTTTTTAATGATACAATTCAATTATCAACTTAGAAATTCTTCAAAATGGGAGTGCCTGGCTAGCTCAGTTGGAGGAGCATGCGGCTCTCTCTCTCTCTCTCTTTTTTTTTTTTTTTAAGATTTTACTTATTTATTTGAGAAAGAGAGAGCACAAGAGGGGAGGAAGGTCAGAGGGAAAGGGAGAAGCAGACTCCTCACTGAGCCCAGAGCCTGATGCGGGGCTCCATCCCGTCCTGAGATCACGACCTGAGCTGAAGGCAGACACAACCAACTGAGCCACCCGGGTGCCCCAAGCATGCAACCGTTGATCTCAGATGGTGGGTTTGATCCCAACTATGGGTGTAAAGATTACATAAATAAATAAAAATTTTTAAGAAAGAAATTATTGAAAATGATCAACAGAAATTCTGTTTGGTATTTCATGGTAGATGAACTGTGTCTGTCAAGAATAGAAAACTTTGGCATGAAAGCCAGCCAAATGTGGGGCCCACACAGGATCATCTGACTTTTTGTTCCCTCTAGCCATTACTTCCATAATTGCCTTTAATCCACTTGGCCTTATTTGTGTTCTAATAGGTTCCCAGGACTGGGCTTTCATTATCAAATAAATTCAACATAGCATTTTCCATGTAGCCCTTACATTAGTTAGTCGCTCTGAACATGCAGAAATTTAAAAAAATAGTTCCTGCCCCCCAAAACATGTCAAAGACATGAAAAAAATAGTTAAACATAAGGGAATCAGTGGTTAAATGCTGCAGTGGGTATATAGGAGAATGGAGAAGGAAGGAAGGATTGGCTAGAAAGGTTGGGAAGAGAGGTCTAAAATTCTCAATTTGAATCCATGAAAAACAATATGAGGGATTGTGGGAAGGGAAAAGGCAGACATTTGGGGAAATTTTAAAATGTGTGCTGTCACAATTTGGGTTCCAAGAAGCAAGATACTGATAAGGAATTAAGAGTACAGATGATCCCTGGGATGTAACACCAGAGAAAATCAAGGAAAAAAGCAGAAATGGTTCCAGGGAGCTGTCAGACAAGGATACAGACCTGACAAAGTCGTCCAGCCCACCCAGGAGCAGGAGTCTAGCATTGGGCAGAGAAGCCTAAGGCCTTGTACCACTATCCTGCTCAGTCACGGCCGGCTCAGTCACTGGAGAAGAGCGTGACTTGAGCTCAAACCCTGGAGCAGATCCTGAAGGAGTTAAAACTGGGGGCTCTCAGCTAAACACATCTTCTTGCAGTTGGGCAGCAAGCCCTGACTTGATGGGGGCGTCTGAGGGACACACATGTCCACTCTAGTCCACCCTGCGCACCACGTGGATCTATGTCTCCGTCCATATTCAGGGAACAGCTCCTTCAGGGCTCTCAGGGGCCACTCTCCCTGAAAGGAAACTTGCATCCTCAGCTCCCACCTTAGCTTCCCTGGGTGAGTACCCCAAGTCCCAGTGCCTAAGGGATCCGAGCACCTTCTCAGGCCACGGTTACAGTTCTTGCCTTTCTTCACAGTCACAGTTGGGCAAAAGAGTGCCAACTGACACCCAGAGAAGTCACCAGAGTCCATACATAGTCCTCCCTGTTCCCACTGTCTAATAGGTGCCCTAGCTCTTCCCACTGATGGGGTCAATGACCTCTGTTATGGCAGGGATTCTTTGTCTTACCTGCTAGTCTCTGACCATTAGGAGGCCAAAGTGCTTGGTAGCAACCATAACTTGCAGTCCAATGGGAACTTTGCTGTGCCCCAGGTAAGAACATGCCCCCTTTGGGAACCAAGACCTCTAACTCTGCAGAGCCCAGAGTTGTGGGGACAAAGAAGCCCACTGGGGGGGCGCCTGGGTGGCTCAGTCGTTAAGCGTCTGCCTTCAGCTCAGGTCATGATCTCAGGGTCCTGGGATCGAGCCCCGCATCGGGCTTCTTGCTCTGCGGGAGGTCTGCTTCTCCCTCTCCCACTCCCCCTGCTTGTGTTCCCTCTCTCGCTGTGTCTCTCTCTGTCAAATAAATAAATAAAATCTTAAAAAAAAAAAAAAGCCCATTGGGTCATGGAATGATGCTAACTAGGACCACTCATGGATTCCACTTATTGTTTCCCAACCCATGGATTCTTTCTGTTGGGGACACAGCATCATACTAAGAAACATCATCATTGCAGTGTATTGCAGTGTATTGCCTCCAAGCTGAGCTTCAACTACATCTTCAATTGGTCATTCCAATACTTTATCTATCCATCAGCTTCTGGATTGGTGAGGTATGTAATATGACCAGTGGGCCCACTCCCTGACCTCCTGTGCCATGAAGAGTGTCTTCTGGTCAGATACGACACATGTGGGATTCCATGTGTGTGGATCAGGTGGTATTTAAGCCCCCAGAGAATGGTGCTCCTGAGTCCCTGCAGCCAGGAAAGGCAACCGCATACCTGGAATGAGTGTCTATCCCTGTGAGAGCTGGCCCTTCCAGGAGAAAGGGGGCCCAATGTAGTCAGCCGGTCACCCAGCATCCTCTTGGTCTCCTTAAGGAATACAGCTTCGCATTGGTCTTTATGGTTGGCAGATTAGACATTCAGTGGTAGCAGTAGCTATATTTTGGTAAATGACCATCCATTCTGTTAGGTTTTTGTATCACCTCCATCTCTGGCACCGTAGTTTCTTTGTTCAGGTACCCATATGCAGCAGTGGGGGTAGAGGGGGCCTCTAACAAAGGTTGCCTAGGTTAACTGGCCAAGTTGTTTTGTCTAGTTGGCACATCTTTTGTAATAGATACTTACTTGTGGGCCTTAACATGTGATACAAAAAACTTCCCATTTGTGTCCACTCCTATATGTTCATCCACTCCTATATTTTCTTGTCTCTGATTTTCAAATGTCTTTCATTCTGATGCTCCACCCGCCAGCCAGGTCACTGCTCATGAGCACACATATGTTCTAACTTTGGGCCATTCTTCCACCACACAAAGTGGATGACTAGGTGCACATCTCAAAGCTCCTCCTACTGGGGAGATTTTCCTTCACCACTGTTTTTCAAGACCTCCTCCAAGTGAGACTATACCACAGCCACCATTTTCAGTTTATACTGCATCCTGAGATGATTCATTCATACCCCAACTTGGGCTTTTTCTTTCCTCATTTAACTGGTTATGTGGGACCTCCTCATATGACCATAGGTGTAAGCTAGGGGTGGGGTGCCAGGACAAGCACAGTGAGTGACATGGACATGTGGGCTATGAGGGCTATGGACTCATGCAGCTTGCCTGTGCCCTCTGGTCCTGCTTGTGCTCAGTCCCAGAGATACCAGTTTCATCTTATGATGGCTTTAATGATAGGCCTGCCTGACTTTGTGACTCCATGTGTCCAATGGGACCTAGCTGGTGATGATGCATTCTGAACCCATGGTCATTTGTTATCTCTTCCAGGGCCCAGTGCCAAGCTAGGGGCTGCTTTTCTGAAGGAGTGTAATTCTTCATCACAGTTGGTATGAGCTTGTTCCATAATCCAAGGGGTCTACATTGTGATTCTTCTACTGGGACTTGCCTTAAATGCCACACTTATTCCATACTGACCCCTCCAACACTATAGCCTCTGCTAGATGATTCAGTCCAAATAGAAAGGCTGTTTGTATCACAGCCTGGACCTCCTGGGGAGCTTCTTCCTGCTCTGGGTCCACTCAAAGCCAGCAGCTTTCCATGGAGCCCAACGTGTGGGCAGCAGGAGTGTTCTTAGGTGTGGAATGTGTTTCCTCAAGAATCCAAAGATTCCTAACAGGCTGTGGGCTTCCTTCCTTCCAGTAAGGGATAGGAGATGCAGCAACTTGTCTTTTACTTAGAAGGAAATGTCCCAGCATGCTGCTGACCATCAGGCCTCTAGAATCTTTGGTGAAGTGGCAGGTCACCAAATCTTTGTAGGATCATCCTGCCCGAGCAGCACGATATCATC